GAGAGCAGGGAACAGAAAGGTCAGGTGTGTAGTCGCTTAAGCACTGTACCCCCGAATTCAGCACGGTACGTAGTGGCCCCTCGACAAGTCACGGAGAGGGGCCTCAGGGGAGGGTGGGGCACGCGGGGGTCGGGGGCCGGGCTGGGGGACCGAGCGGGAGGGCAGACGAGGAAGGACCTCGCACCCTACACAGCAGAAGGTGGAAGATGGCGGGAGCCTCCGTCCCGGGCGGTCTTGGGGCGCCGCCACCCCAACTGTCCCTCGCTGGCCCCCGCCCCCAAGGCTCAGGGGCGGGAGGGGGTGGGGCTGCAGGCGGGGCCGCAGCTGCGCTCCCGGCACCTGCTCACCTGCACCTGCCGCTGCAGCTGCCGGGCCCGCTGCTCCCAGAAGCGCCCCCAGCGTCCGCCCTTCGCCGCCGGCATCGCCGGGCCCAGGCCTCCCCCCACCTGCGGCGCGGGGGGGGGCGTTGGGGGGGGGGGGGGGGGCCCCCACCCTCGTGGTTTCCATGGCGACGGGGTCACGGGACCTGGGGAGGGGCCAGGGAGGGGAGCGGCTACACTGCGAGATTACTGGATACGGTGGGTGTTCCAGACCCCATGTAAATTACAGCCTCCCGCGGGTACACAGCCCTTCCCGCTGGTCCTGTAATTTTGCGTCCGCCCAACGAGTGTGGCTCCCTTCCCCACAGGAATGTCTGCGGGGAGAGGAGGGAGGGCCTGTGGAGCCCACTGGGAACAGGAGCCAGGGGACAGGCACAGGAAGAGGCCAGCGGGCGCCGCTCGGGGCCCCGAACCGCTGCAGGGAGGCGGGGGGAGGGACGGCAGCACCGGAGCAGGGGGAGCACCCCGGGGTGAAGCCGCGGCGCAGGGGCGGGCGCACCACCTGTGCTTGGACAGGGAGGCTCCCCTCCCCTTCTCCTCCGCAGCCCTCCCGGCCCTCCCGGCCCTCCCCTGCCCTGCTCCCCGCTGCACTGCTCCAGCCCTTCCCGCCCTCCCTGGCACTGCTGGGCAGGTGCACTGCTCCCGCCCTGCCCCGGGCCCACCCTCCTCCCCTCCTCCCCTCCTCCCCTCCTCCCCTCCTCTGCACTGCTCCCGCCCCGCCCCGCGCCCTGGGAGGGTGGCAGAGGACGGCTGCATGGCGGGTCCATTGGTCCCAGGCACAGTTGGTCTGTCCCTGCTTCTGGAAATACTAACTTGGTTCTCGGGCACTGGCCCCTTGTCCTCCGTCCAAGGGCACTTCTCGTCTTCTGTGCCAGTCTCGTCTCACAGCATTGAATGACATCTGTACCCTGATGATGCCCCCATTCTGTGTCCAGCTTGCCCCCCTCCCTCGAGTTCCCGACCTGTATGTAGGCCACACTGCCTGCAGGCGCCACCGGGGGCGTCCCCACAATCCCCACCCCCTCCAGGCTCTGCCCGACTTCTAGTGCACCTGCACTCCTCGCCCACCGGGACCCACACCTTGCCATCCACTCCTGCCATCACCCCACATGCCACCACAGACAAGTCCTTCTGGGCTCACCATAGTGATGGCACCAGCCCCTTGGCCGGTCACCTACACGGTGGTTGACACATCAGTTGGACGTTCCCTCCCCTCCGCTTCTCCATTAGGTAAAAACCAGGCGCTCAGGACGGCCTACGCACCTCTGCTCCTCCTCTGCCCCCTCCCTCCCCCTCCCTGCCCACTCCGCTGGAGGATCAGTGACCTCCTTGCTGTTCCTGGGGGGGGGGGGGCAAGCACATTTCCACGTCACTGCCTCTGCCTCTCTGGCCCTCTGGATGCTCGTTCAGGGCTCGATCAAAACCATCTCATATGGACGGGACCCACGTCCTTCCCCTGGCACATGGCTTTTCGGATTGCTCACATGGAACAGTTATCTGGTGTCACTGTCACCGGAGGAGATCCAGAGCTCCAAAGACAGCAGCCGCTGGGCCTACAGCAGCTACAACGTTTGGCACATTTAGGAACTCAGGCCAATTATCTGTTGACTGAGTCGATGAATCAGAAAGAACAGGCGATGACGATGACGCTGTGAATAAGCCGCATCCTCCTTCCACAGCACGTTGGTCAGAACAGGCTGCCTAGACCTGAGAAATTAGAGACAGACAGACCACTGAGTTGGGGTTCACAGCAGCAAACGTGCTGGTCGGATACGAGGACTCTCTTCACTCCTGGGGGCTGGTGAGGCCACCGGGGCCGCCTGTCGGCACGCGTGTAATGTGCACACGTGCACCACACGTATGATGCGTGTATGTGCCATGCACACGCGATACAGCGACCCTACTCTGAGGAGGAGCCGCACAGTGACAGGGAGACGACTCCGCCTCGGGTCCCAGAGCCCACGATTCAGGAGAGACCCCGGGCAGCAGCGACGCAATGACAAAAGTGATATGGCGTGACAGGGGACGCAGAACTTGGCGAATGTGTCCCGGCCTTGCTGACCGATACCACTCGGGACACCCTTCCACTGGGCTCCCTGCAGCCCTTGCCGAGGAGGGGGAGCCTCCCCGCAGCCAGAACCTGGTCCCCATGCGGGTGTCTCCAGGGACGGTGCACCCCCGGGCCACACGGGGGCCTCTGCCCCAAATCCCAGTGGTGCCCAAGGAGAGCGTTTGAGCGCCGTCCAGGTCAGGCTCTTACCAGCAGCCCGATGGGGCCACTGATAGTCTCCCATCCGCTTCCCTGGCAGCCCGGCCGAGGGCCACCGTGTGCTCCGCCCGAGGCCACCAGAGGCCTGTGGACGGTGCACCCCTGGGCAGAGGACACCGCCGAGGCTACCTAGGTCAGCGGCACGCAACGAGCCGGTGCCCCTCAGTGGCCGGAGCCCCGCGCTGAGGAGCCCCCTGTGCGTTTCTGCCACCGGCAGTCTCCTCGCTTCTGCCTGCAACCCACGATGCTTCTGTCACCAGCGGAGACGAACTCTTTCCAAGAGAGCATCCTGCATGAACTTGCGGCGGAAGCAGGCGGCACAGTGCGGTCTTCCTCGAGCCGTGACTTTTAGTACATTAAAGATCGTGAAACAACGAACCCACACATCCCAGATGACCGAGAGGAGAGGCAGGTACATTTAAAGGCGTCACACGCTGCATCCGGAGTCCGAGTGTCTGGACCGGTGTCCACAGCTGCCGGAAGGATCTCAGGAACCCTGCAAGCAAACCTGGAACCCGGACGGCCGTCAGGGAGCCCAGACCCTGCACTCCTCTTTCCCTCCCGCCGGGAAATGCCGTTAGGACGCGTCTTGTGTTCTCCTCAACTCAGACAAGCCGGCCTTCCATCCGGGGGCCTGTCCCCAGGGCAGAACCTGGGGAGGCAGGTCTATAGAGCTGTGCAGCTAACCCACTGTCTTCCAGGTCTCCTGTTTGCTGTTGTTCGTGCTAACGTTTTATGTTATTCTTAACAATTCCAAGGTGAAGTTGGACCCGCTGTCCCCAGTTCAGACTTGGCCATCTGCCATCTCCGCAAAAGAACACACCAGCAGGCTTAGACGAGCAGGAAAACCAAGGCTCAATCCAGCAAACATGTGAAAGTATGATCTGAAAGTCACCGTTCCAGGTTGGTCGAAGCCGTTGGCACTGGCTTCCTGCCTCGCCTTTGGGCACCTCTGTGATCTACCCCGCACCCCCATGCCGTGCCTGTGCCCCGCAGCTGGGCCCCGCTGTCGGCCAAGGGCTGTGTGCCCCTCAGTGCACACAGGACCTTCCTTCCTGTGCTTTCTCCACATGTGACCAAGCCACCCTTGGAGGCCTGCAAGAAAGGGGCACGAAGACTGCAAATCTTTCCATGTTTCAGACCTACCTCCTGCCACCCCCCGGCCCCAGTGCCCCATCTCCCACCTGCTATCTGCCTGCAGCAACCTCTCTGCCCTGGGGATCCTCCCGCGGGGACCAGTCCTTTCTCTCAAGAGGGCAAGTCCTCTTCTCCAAAGGTCCTCCACCACGAGCCAGACCGGGTCCTTCCGTCAAGGCCTCTAAGCGCCCTGTTCACCTTCTGTGGACAATTTGTGAACCGTGTCTGTCTTCCTGCAGCTGCTTTGGGATACTTGGAACCAGCGTCACAGTGACTGACACAGGGCAGGCACTCACGGATTGTATTTGTTCAATAAACTGTGTAAGACATTGGTTTTTAAATCCCGCTTTGGAGTTGAACGTACATCTGCTGGGGCGCCGTGACTTAGAATGAACTGCACGAATACTGTACTGAGACCCGTCACTTGGCGCCTGTTTCCCGTGAGGGCCCCTTCTGCAGCGGAAGTGGGGCCCTGAGACTTTGCTGTGGCTCCGCGTTTCCCTAGAGGTCCAAGTAAAAGTCTTTCAAATCCGTTTCCCAAGCAACGGAGCAGAGGAATCCCGTTCCAACGGCCCCCTAGAACCCCATGCGGTACAGACAGTCTGCAGGTTAGAAGCGTTCCTTTCGCGAGCAGCACTCAGCGCACATGGGCGGTCCTGGAGACCAACGGAGTTTCCGTCCTCTCAAACCTCAGAGCACCGTTTTGGGCACGAAAATACACCACAGGCAGACACTAGCACTCCAATACGTAGATAGGCAGACAGTCCTAAAAAGATCCACACCGTTTCTGCCGAAAGCCCTTCCTGAAGTCCTGGCACGCCCCCTCAGCCCACCTGCCCCAGGGACACAGAGGCAGGGGCTCTGGGGCCACAGGGGGAGAGGGGTGGTGCAGCAGAGCCGGGCCTGGGTGTTTTGGCGACCGTGCACCCTCCCGGAGCCACCCCAGGCGGGTCCTCGCCACCGGTCCACACAATTCACTAAGCACCTGGTGTGCAGAGTCCCTGTGACCGCTGGTCTGGGTCTGGGTCTGCCCACGAGCTGGGTGCAAGCCGGGGGGGGGGGGGGGGCAACCGATGTCGGGGCGGCCTGCAGTCTCCGTTAGAGTCTGTGCGCTCAGGAAAGAGCATCCCCCACATGCCGGACTCCCCATCTGACACAGAAATGATGCTTGCCGACTGTTTAATGAGTAGGACGCACAGGTACGAGGCAGAGGCTGAGATGACACATATAATCTTTGCCAGCACGATTACAACAACAGATCCGCTCAAATACATACAAAGTTTATTAAAAATAGATTGCAAATGAGCTACAGTAGAAATGGGAAGTACAGCAGTTCTGGTGTTTCCACAGTGACGCACAGTCATGACCTCGTCACCCACGGGCGGCCAAACCCACCCGTTTCCAGGTTTACAACCACACACACACACATACGCACACACACACACACACACACGCCCCTGCATGTAAGTATTTACATGTACGTGCGTGTACTTAGGCGTGTTTGTTTCTTTCTACAGATTAACGGAACAGTGACTCCTCTGCGTCTGCTTCATGACAGCAAGTGTGGATTTTGTCCCCGTGAGGCGGCCAGTGTTGTCGAGCTCTCCGGGAGGGGCCCGCTTCTCCTAGAGCTCTAAAGCAAGCGCATCCTTCATAAACACGTAGACCAGGTTACTCTCTTAAACGAGGGCAGCGGTGACAGCACACTTCCAGATAAGAACCCTGATAGACGTGAAAAATATTTACACTCGCGTTTCAATGATTTATCATACAGCGCCTATTAAAGTGATTTCTAAGGCTAAAAAGGCTCTCCTCCCTCTTCTGTTTGAAAGTGTGCACGTTTTTCTAACATACGCATTTTGTCAGAACAATCTGGTGCAGAAAAATCCTCAGGATCCCACAGCAGGGCCTTGTCAAATAGAAGCTTCGCTCATAATCCCCACGTAATTTACCATTTTCACATCACACAGTAGAAACCAGAGTGAGATCCGTGTCTGTATCGGCCACATGTTCACAGCTAAAGAAAGGACACTGGTCACAGTAACTCATCAAATGAAAGTTCAGTAACTATCAGATGTGAAAAAAAAAATACTTTCAACTGCCTCACAAGTCACTCTTACAGTATTTAAATCGTAGATGCCATGTCATTGGCCCTTCTTTCCCAGACAGGACATGGATGTCACTCTTTCTTCTCTGCATTTAAAATTTCTGAGCAATAGTTGTGCTCAAAGGTCACTACTGACCCCTGCCCCCCCCCCATCCCTCTCCAATATGTGTTTCTACCCACATCGACACTGCCCAGCTAAACAGATGCTCTTTTACAGATTCCCCTGAATATTTGAAATATTAACTTCCTAACGTCATTGCCATCTTCAAAATCACCAATGATTTATTAGCCTAACAGTAATCTGACGTTTATAAAAATAAAATATCCTAAGCTTCAATCCTCAAAATTTTCTTCTTGGAGAATTTTTTAAAATCAACTATTTAGAATGTACTGGGAGGGCTGTCCCCGTATGGAAGGAGAGGGGCAGGGTCTCCGATGGGCATCACCTCCCTCCCAGGAGGTGTGGGTCCGAGCCGCATCCTAACTGCACGGACAAGACTAGCGAGCCCGGCCCACGAGAGCTCTGGACTCAACGCGCCGGGCGTGTCCTCCGTGCCCACCCTCCTCTGGGACATCTGCAGTTACTATGGAATAGTGCAAACAAGGTCTGGGGGTTCAGGCTACGCCCCGTCCCATCCCTACAGTCCAGTCTGTGACACGGGACGGACGTGGCCTCTCGGCACCCCTGGGGACAGCAGGGGAGACACCCCACTGCCCTCGCCTGCGCTGCACGCTCCCCCTTTCCAGCTTGGACTCTAGAAAAAGCAACAAAAAACGTATCTTCGGGTGAGTCAGATAATTAAGAAATTGGACAGTGTTTTACATCGTATAAATGATAATCTCCTGGTAAAACAAAAGGGCTTCTTGGACTGGGACCACCTCTAAATCCCACCCATCTTCCAAACAGCCCTTCTGTGACTCGGAAATGCCGCCGCCTCCTTCTCTCCCCCGACCATCCTCCAAAGCCGCACCGGGAGGACGCTGGGCTGAGCACGGGTGCCATTTCCTGGTCTCACTTTGTGTTCAGTTCGTTTTCCAGTTCTGTTAATTTACGAGAGGCTTTCACTTTATTGGACACATCTTGACCTTGTGAGAACAGCCGCTGGCGCTCTTTGAATGTCAAGTTCTCAGGGGCTCCGGAATTTCCAGGTAAATCTGCATCATGGCTGCGTCAGAGGGAAACGTAAGACATCACTGGTCAAGATGGAAATAACTTGTCAACAATTAGGTAACTTTACATAGCGGGCAATTCAGTTCAATGTTTCCTGAGGGAGACTCATTCTTTGTTAAACCAGCCAAGACCCTTCCTCTAAATACAGTCACTGGGGTTGTATTCAGAGCCGTGCAAAAAAAGGGGCAGGATGCCCTCCCGCCTAAAATACTGACTTTCTCCCGACACATCCAACTCTCAAAACACTGGTAACTTCAGTTTTAGCAGGCAGGGGGTTCTTCATAGCCGAGTTGATCTAAAGAGGGCAGTTTAAAAGCACATAATTTTAACGAGCCCCACATGTACCCGACAGGCATCAGGATACCTAACTTAACACCAAGTTACAGGAAGACGCTGAAGATTTTCTCCGTCAGTTCCATTTCAGAGCTTTAAGAACTGTCTGGGCCAATTTGTTTCTACCACCCGGGTGAGAGCGCTCGGTGGAGACACCAAGCCTACTCGTGCCTTCTGGCTTCGCGGGTGGAAGCAAACAGCAGCACATCCGCTGCTTCTGAAGGTCTAGGAAGTTCTAGACTAGGAAGTCGGGTACGTACACCCGTGTCTGAGACAGAATTCTGTGAGCAACGTGAAACGAAGCAGCCAGCAGGCTCACACACTCGTGTACAATGAGGGACGCCTGAGGTGATCAAGTCTCTAAACTTGCGATCCAGCCTCATACAAGAACGGTGTGAGGAAGGCAGCGATCCTTCCGTGAAGCTGTTCACAGCTGTCAATACCTTTTCGCCAGCTTCTCTCTCGGGTCCCGGGAGCCGTCACGGGCACCGATCGCTGCCCCGGAAGATCCCACGGAAGAGTTTGGTCCTTTTCCATAAAAGAAAAAGTCAAAGTTAAAGTACCCGCATACCTCCCAAAACCTTATCATCATCGAGAGGCGGGGCCCACAGAAGAAGAGGAGGTCTTTACTGAGTGAAAGCACAAGGTTCTTCAAACGAGACAAAAGATGCCTTGGTCTGCAGCCGGCTTCGCTCAGCGGCCTGCGAAATCCATCACTGCCCCGACAGGCGCTGTGACAGCACAGGTCTTAGGTGGCAGTGCCAGAAAGTTCAAACCAGGCAAGATGCAGTCGCCATGAGCTCAGAAGATGCGCTTAAGGGGGGAGGGAGTCACACCGGCCCCCCCCCCCCCCCCCCCCCCCCCCCCCCCCCCGGGGGGTGGTGATGGTCAGACAGTCCTGATGGGAGGAGCTTCCTTACAAAAACAAAGGAGAGTGAATGTAACCTAGCCAGTAACCATGTGACTGAAGGGTCTCTTTTCAGGACAGCTAATGGATTTTTTCCTACATAAATGGCTGTAATTATTGACACTTTGAAAACAAATGAGCCACCAAAACCCCTCGTGTTTGATATAAATGCTGCAGATACAAACTCACTCAAAATACTCCCCGAGGCAGCACCGTGTACTGAGTGAGCAAGCCCGCGGGACACTCGGCCTGGGTCCCTGGCTCTGAGCCTGGCCCAGCCACTGAGGTGACCGACAACATCAGTCCGGGAATAGCACCGCCACCTTATCTACTCCACGGGGATGTTGAAGGTCAAGAAATGATGCAGAGAGAACTTTTAAATGCATCCCAGTATCATATTAAAAGGTGTGTTAAAATCACAATGCATTATATCAGTACTCTGTTACCACACCAGCAAAAAGAAACGTCACGTTTGAAGAACCTTTGGCTTATGGGGATACAAGCCGGAGCACAATACTCAAAATACTCAGCCAACGCTGACAGCATTGCGTGTCCGATTAAATAAACGGCAGTTACTACAGTATTTCAACATTAAAATCATCCTTTTTAGACAGGTTGCACAAAAATCAATTTTTGCTTTTCTGTAGGACAGGACACGCTGTGCGGACGTGTGCAGTCACGTCTCAGCACAGCACCTCTCCTGTCCCTCAGCAAGGTCCCCTGTGGTCACCGTATGCAAAGTCATCCTCCACAAAGACTCAAAAGATGAGTCAGACTGTATCCATAACCTCAGATAACCCAGAGTGGATCTTCACGTTAATTATCTGCAGAATAGAATTTTTTCAATTTTAACTCTAAGTTTTGTTTTAGAAGACATATCTTTTGAGCTTTGTTTTAAGAATGACACTTGCTTCTTCCACTGGTAAAAATTCTTCAAAATTTTCAAAGTTAATCAGAACATTACTTTCAGGAGACTATATATGTGAATCCTGCACACTTCAAATAGTTCTCAAAAAGCTCCAGTTAAACCACATTTTTCAATATATTGCTATGCTGGAACGGGATGTTACTTATTCCAATGCATAGCCCGATTCTGTTCCCCCCAGGGCCCAGTGGAAGAAACCAAGTCTGTGTCCTTCCCAGAGTGCTCACGACAGAAAAGTGAGCTGAGCCCAGGGCACGGCCGCGTGAGGGAGAGGCAGGGAGGTCACAAGCACCCTGCATGTGGTGCAGACAGCTTTGTACTTTACGAAGGAAGTCTTCAAAGAGGCACGAGCGGGCAGGTGTGGGACAGAACCTATGTGGCGTTTCAGATGCGAAATAAATTAAGTGTTAGCTCGTGGGTGAAAGCCAAAGTGGTCTCGAGTGACCGCCTCGCCACAACACTGCGTCACCGAACCTCATCTGTTCGTGTCGGGACACAAAATATCTGAAGTTCAGCGTGTAATGTGCAAGGAGACTGATGGCATCTCCCTTCAAAAGTGACTATTATCCCACAAACGTCTTTGAGGTCCTACTTTCTAGATGCCGAAAACAGAAATTTTATAAAGATCTAACTTTGGCTTCTGGGCGGCCCAGCCTGAATATCATGCCGAGCCTTCCAGGGGCACCAGAGCACTGGCGCAGACAGGAGGCAAGACCCTGGCCAAGCCCACTTGTTCCGGAAGAGCCACCATTATGCATGCTTCTGACTTTCCAACTTCTTTTGGAATCGTGAGTCCTGCGTATCACACCACGAGGGTCTGGAAGCCCTCGTGCTCCTGAAAAGCACTAGATGTGAGCAAGTTTAGATAGTAAGACGAAAGTCGGGTCTGAATCCTTACGATTTTCGGTGATATCTTAAATATCCCTGCAGTGCTGTCTTGGACACTGGTCACTGCAGATGCGCCTGCGGTGGCCTTCCGGTCCCGGCACAGACAGGACCACTGTCACACGGGGCAGTGACGTCACGGGACACGTTAACTCAAGGTGGCCATGTGCCTGTTGAGGTCTGGCTAGTGCCGCGATGGCAGAGAATGTCACAGAGCGGGAAGGAGAAACCAGTCAGAGGGAGGAGTGATTTCACAAGGACTGGGTTCCCTGCCCCTGGTGTGAGGCAGCTCGCGTGACAGCAGGGCCATCCGCGCAGCGTGGCACTGACTAGGCCACCAGACTACCACGGAAAGCAGGAGCCATCGTTATGACCCAGCTCGGTAGGGGAACTACTGGGGCAGGTAACTCAGAACAGAGAAGTGCTACTCATGTTAAAGAACGAAACTTAGTGTGCGTGTGACCGTGACACTACGGCTGAGAGGATCTTATCTTTAGACACCAAAAAGTGTGGAAGAAAGGACTTGTTCAAGTAAGTGTAAGAGTTATCAGAATTAGGCAGAGAACGAAGGCTGAAACAGTACTTGGTGACCGGGGAGAAGGACTGGGACCCTACAGGCCACAGCCGTGCGGGGCGGACACACCCGGAAGCAGAGACTAGTGAGCAAGCGAGATCAAGAGGCCGGAGCGAGTGCTGATTGGGGCGGCCCCCACCACAGGGGCCGCGCAGTCCCCGCTCCAATCACGAAGGAAGACACAGGGGGCTTGATTGGTCAACCCATGACCCCACGCTTTACCTCTACCTTTCGAGTGGCGGGGGTGGTGGGAGCCCGGTGGCTTTGGAGGGGGAGGAGGGGGCCGGCCTGCTCCGGGAGCAGCACCGTGGGCAGCGGCCGAGGGGGGCTGCAGGGAGCCGGAGAGAAAGAGGCCGTCGGAGGCCGGGCGCGGCCGGCGGGGGGGTGGCCGTGGCGCAGGGGCGGCGGGAGGAAGGCGGCCCCGGGACTTGCCGGTGTGGGAGAGCTTGTCCTGACCTGCCAGACTGCAGTCCTCCTCCTCCTCCTCCTCCTCGTGGTACGCAACGAGCCTGGCGGTGTACAGGGAGTCTGGGGACAGGGCCGGGGCCTGCAGGGAGGAGGCGGTCCGCTGAGGTGGGGGAGGAGGAGCAGCCGCCGGGGAGGACGGGGCCGGGAGCTCGTAGCCCCGCGGCAGCGGCGGTCTGCCCAGGCCCGGCTCCTCCGGCTCCAGCAGCCTGCGCTCGGCCTCCGCGTGCTGTCTGCGCCTCTCGGCTTCCAGGCGGCTGTAATAACCTTCTTCCTGTCGCCTCTGCGGGCGGAACACACAAAAGCGCAAAGGTCAGAGTCAGGAGGGGGCCTTCCCGGGGTGCAAAAGGACGCGTTACCCTCTGACCCCCTCTGCACACCCTTGCGAATCCAGGGGATAGGAGAGTTTCGACAGAACGTTCTAGGACAGGACAGGCCGATCCTTCTGGAAGCACGGACACACTCAGGCTACCGTGGAATTATCTGACGTGAAACCGCTCCAAAGCATGGACGGACGGACGGACGCTCAGGCACCTTCAAGCTCCAGCTTCCAATCCTACACCACCGTCCCCATTCAGTTATCCCTCCAGGCCTCTCTCTAATTCTCGGCTGCTCCTGTCTCTCTCCTTCTGTTCTTGTAGGATGTTAACTTACCTCTTCACTGCTGGGTTTAAAGACAAAACCAAACCAAAAACAGGCTCTAGCCGGCTTTCTACAGCCGGCGCCCTCAACAACAGCCGCCTTGCGCGCGCGCTGTCTCACCGAGCCCCAGGGTCCAGAGAGCAGCCCTTCCTCTACCAGAAGGAAGATGAAGTCACCTGGTTTATTTCCAGTTATTCAGAGAAGTGAACAGAAACCATAAAACATTACTCATTTTCCCAGGGCGACAATCTAACAGATAGAGGTATGCTTTCCGCAGTTCTTAATTTACAGTTCAAACCTTAAACTCCCTGGCAGACAGAAAATGAGAGAGCCAGGCATTCAGAGCAACAGCAACACGATATTCAAATATATTTTGACACATACTGTACATTTTTTTCTGACATACATCTGCACAAACTACAGTTGACAGCGTTAAAATTATTTTAACATTAAAAAAGGTCACAGCACAGTTGGGTTAAAGATTGACAGGTTCCAGAACACATGGAAAAGTGGATGGAAGAGAGGGATGTGAGGTCAAACTGGAAGCTCTGCGTCCGCCTAGATGCCGTGCAGGCTGCAGAGCGCAGCCAACGGGTTTGAAGTCCACTCAACCCAAAACACACAACTAATCTCAGGGACCTTGCTGGCATTCGGGTACAGGCTTCTGGTCCCCGCCGGGAGGTGTGTGCTTATGTCTGCGGTCTGCTCCCCGCCCCCCAGCCCTCCCAGCCCCACACACGGTGACCACAGCACTCACGCTTCCCCTTTCGTGGTCAGGTGCCAGCCAGCCTCGTCTTGGCATTGGACCCAATTTCTCACTTTATCTTCTTACTCTGTGTTGAGACATCTTTTACCTTGTTTTCTAACATAAAATAAGGGTCTGCTTATTAGGCTCGGGAATCAAATCCAGAATGAGCCCTGTGGCCTTTAGTGTGACATGAACGACAGCCACCTGACGACATTTTAGGAGGAGACCAAAGTATCCCTTTATAGTTACACTAAGAGCAGATACAGTGACGTGACCGGACAGGTGGCCCATCCGACTAACGAACGGCACGTTCTTCTGTAACAAAGCCAGCCCCTCAATTGTGGACGCTGCGGATAAAAAACGGCTCATCCAGCTTTTTAGTGACCACTCAACTCTAGAAGCAGTTACGGAGTGAGACCCAAGCGTTACATGACATAGTGGTGAGCTGTGAGGGCTCACGCTGGAAGAGGCTGGGAGCGGAGGGCCTGAGCACAGGGCGCGGGCAGGCCTCCCGCACACGGGCCCCGAGGGGGGTGCGGGCCACAACACACCCCTGCACTGACAAGTCTAGGGGCTCACGTTGCGGAGAACTGATTCTGACCGGGACTTCTCCCGACACAAGTGAAAGACACCGGGGCACCCGGCCCCACTAGCAGAGGCCGCTTCCGAGACTGCAGAAGCTATGTGGACACAGCCGCTGAAGGTCACAGGATGATGCCAAGGAACCGTGAGGGTCTAGAAGATGCAGAGACCGCTACTTCTCACACAGGTACGTGTCCTAGCCTTATTATTCTACTTTTGTCTAGATGAGTCACATCGTTTCTGCCAATCGAGCTCTTCACTAGTTACACATCCAGATGGATCGTATCACTCACTACACAAGGTTTCCTAAAAGCGCTCTCTTTCGGGGGAGGAGGGGGCTTCATTAATACGGCTCACGAGACTGTCAAAGGAGGAATCAGGAACGAAAACTCCCCACCGGCAGCTGTGGCGCCCACGGCCCCCGCCTTCACAGAAGGGAAGCGTCAGAGCGGACAGGCTCCCCCACCCCCGCCACGGGTGCCCCCTCAGGGCCAGCTGCGCACACACTGCGGTCCCGGTTGTCAGGGTGGACCCAATCAGCTGTCATTTTGAAATTCACGTAAAAGATTACTTTCATAAAAAGAATCCACATGTGGAACCAAAATAACAACTCGGGATATTAGATCACATTCTAGTTGAATTTTCCTCGTATCGCGCTTTTTGTAAGCTATCTGACCTGCTGACCGCCAACCAGAATGGAGTACTTTCCGTAAGGAACCTACTTGAAATGCGCGGGGCGAACACACCGTCTACGTCCCTGGTGCTTCACCGCCCGAGCTCCGACCGCACAGCCGCACAAGCACCACCCTCACCCCACCAGGCGGAGCCACGTCCAGGAAAGGGCAGGGCCCCGAGGGAGCGGACCGGCCGGGAGGAGGCTCGGCCACCCCGACGGGCCTACGAGTTCAGAAGCGGGAGAGAGACAGGACTCAGGTGGGAGGACGTGGACACCGTCCGGAGCAGAGGCGGGCGGGCCGGGCCGGGCTCCAGTCTCCGGTCCGACAACAAAGGAGGGGTCCAGGCCCCGTTGTGTCTCGCACGCGTTAGGATGCGTGCAGCGTCTGCCCCTCTGCCCCAGCCCATCCATCGGGTTCAGGCTAAGCCGGGAAGCCTCTAGCCGCCCCTACAGGACCATGACCTTGTCTTCGGCGTCTCGCTTCGTCCTCTCCTCCTCCTGCCTGGCGCGGTCCTCTGCTTCCCGCCTGCGCATGTCGTCCAGCTGCCGCTGCCGCCGCCGCTCCTCGTCCTGTAACTAACAACGCAGGGACTTTAACCTCCGCCCTGCACGCTCCAGCAGCACGAGGCGCGGAGAGCACACACTGGCACAAGCAGACACACACACACACACACACACACACACACACACACACACACACGACGTCAGATACAAAATACCCGGTTAGATCACCGTGGGAAGACGGCAAAACGTACACATTTCACAGCTCTACGTTTCAAAATTAAGCTGCCTAACAGCACTGTCCCCACAGTTCCACGAACTGCTCCAAGAAGGAATCTGTTTCATACATCCACACCGTGAATAAGCAGGACTGTAGCCAGCTCACATAAACCACACTCCCGTGACACACGGACCCTCCAGTTACGCAACTACGGGGTGCACTCGGCCATCGTCTCCCCCCCATCCTCCTTCCCTCCGGTCTGCATGCTTGTGGGCTGGGGCACACAGACCTCAGGTCCCTGGGGTGGGTCCCACGTGTCAGCACACAACCCCAGAGGGATACCGGGACCGTGGGCCAAGCCCCTGGCCCACTGACCCTTGGCCATCGGCTTTCTCCAGACCCCATCCTGGACTCCAAGAATTCCTTCTCAGCCCAGGGAGACCCCAAAGTCTTGAGCCAAAGAATCTGAGCCTGTATTCGCAAGGGACCTCACTTCACCTCTCTTCTGCTACAACCTCTCAGCCAAGTCAATTGGCCGGTCTCTGAATAATTCTCGTGTCTGGAAACCTACCGCCTGCTCCCTGAAACAGCATAGAGCCAAATTCCTCTATGTGCCACAGGTTGAGAATATCTTTTCTAAAAGGATCCTTGGATTAAACGTACATTTGACCAGAACAGAGGAAAACGCCCTTTTGTTACGGCCCCAGACAACGGCAACTTTGAAAGCTTGCTTCTCCAAGTATTTCCTTTCTGTTCCAGAGCTGGTCTGCGGTAGCACCCAAGAAATGTGCCTCCAGACGTCAAGAGGAGTGGATTCAAAATTTTAAAAATTAGAACGTAACCCAACGCCATCTAGTTTCATTGTTAAAGCCCCTGAAGGACTCCCCTTAAGTAAAATTGCTCGTGGTGTGTTTCAGTATTTACGGAATTACTGCTTATGTAGAAACTGAAGTTCACAGCAAAAACAGAAACGGGATTTGAATTGTATTTGTATTTTTTTTAAAAACAAAAACCTTAACAGCTTCACTCCTGCCTTATTTCTGTGGAATAAACACTGCAGCCGATGGGAAAGGAACAAATTAACTTGGCATCGTTAGGCTTTTTCAGGTCAGCAAACAATATTAAAACATCTTAGAAAAAAAAAAACCCGCTCCTCAAGAAGACAAATTTACGTAATTTCCCGTTTAGTTCAAATCTAGGCATAAGCCCAGGGGAGATGTTGGGATGTTGGCTGTGAGGGGCTCAGAGCGGGAGCACAGGCTACGGATTCCGAGCCCAAGAAACAAGGCAGAACTGTGAGGGCTCCCGGCCCCCCGGGGTCGCGCAGGGCTGGCCTCCACCGGGGAGCTCCCCCCGCCACAGCAGGGTCCATGGCCCGCAGCACCAGTGCGTCAACCAATCTACACTCATCGGTCCGAAGTGTGAGAAACGGCACCCAAATAAAAAGAACCAGATAAGCTAGCAGCTGGTATTAAATAGGCTACATGGAAGGGCGTAAAAGCACGTTAGCGTCCCGCACAGACTCCCTCGTCGTGCTTTACCTGCCAGACGCAATTAAAACCAGGCCTGGGCAAGGACAACACAACACGCTAAGATGGCCCGCTGGGTCCTCCCCGCTGAGGAGAGGCACCGTTTTCAGAAACGGGCACAACTGCAGTTCTCATAATTACAGGTACAGAATGCTACCTAGCAAATCTACAGCAGGCACCTTCTCTTCAAAACCTTCATTCTTCTACATCTGGATGGGGTCGGCGAGGAACCTTCTCCGGTGTTAAGGTCCCCAGCTCCTCTTTTTACTGTTACCCACGAACCCATCCATGCTGTCGCGACAAAGGCAGTTTCTGCCCACTGCCTGGCAAGCTGCTTCACGTCTTTTCACTTCCAAAACAAGGCTTTTCATTCTTCATACAGATGCTGCTTTGCCCGACCCTCCTCCCCCAAAAGCGTAATGACAGGAATGATAACCCAGCCTCTAAACTTACTCCAAATTAGCTCAAAATGGTACGCTGTGCTGTGTGGTCTACTTGCGTTCAGTGCCAGGGAAAGGGCGTTTCAACCTAAGCCACACATTTAACACAGGCTGAGCTGCACGGACAGACTGTGTTAACCTGGGGTGAGAAGAAGAGGACACGGGCTCAGTGTTTTACACGCAGAGAACGAAGGGTGGGCTACTATGGAAGCCACCTGCAGGAAGCTACGTTTGGGGGAAGCAGCCGCAGTTCTTACAGCAGCCATCAGCCCGAGCCACAGCCACTCCTGGCCGAGAACTGAGGCAGGGTCTCAGAAGCCACTGTCACCAGCCTGGCTGGTCTCGCTACGCTGGCGGTCCTCCCCTCACCTTCAGATTAAAAAAAGAAAACAGCTACATTGTGATCTGTGTGTTTATAACTTTATGCCACAGAAGACACTAACTCGTGTCTTTAATGTACAGTAAAAACTCCATTAAGGGAGACGATCTTGTTGCGATATCTGAATACAAATCAGGGCCAAGATGTCCTTTCGCTTTTGGGATCCTCGCTGGAAACACGACCGGAAGCCTGTCAGGGTCACCCTTAAGGCAACAGGCAAGCGTCATCCGCCTATGTTCCCACCCGTTAACAATACCCTAAAAAATGTTAATGCCCCGCAGTGAAGGACCCCCACGTGCAGGCCGTTTACTGCTACCGGGCTCAGGCACCCGACTCGGGTTCAGCCCACGAGCCCCATGCGGGAGAGGAAGTCCACTCTGTGTTTCTTCATGGGGAAAGCCATCCCCACGGCCCCGGGCACTTGGTGTGCAAGTCTCTTCCCTGGGCACGGCCCATGCCCCTGCCCGTTCAATGTAAGGACAGTGACAATTTTATCAGCAGCTGAAACGCTCTGGCTTTGCAGGGACAGGTGAGCCTGCGTGGGGCTGCATGCTGCACGCGGCCTACCACGTACATCGGGAGCTCTCTCACAGCAACGATCTCATCTTGCAACCACAAGAGTCTGTGTTCTACTCCAGCATGCCAACAAGCTGGCTTTCGTTCGAGCATATTCTCCTCCTACTTCCTGGAGTCAAACTGACCCTCCCTGAAGGCAGGCTTGGACACCACCCTCGGAGCCAGACCCCGCTCGCGAGGCGGGGGACTCCGGGGGAGCAGGCAGGGTCTCTCTGCAGGTGCAGCTCTCGGCTGGGTTCCTACTGACTCTTGCTTGAGGTTTTTATGATCTTGCTTTCGGTTCAGCCCCTCGTATGCCAATTCCTCCAGTCCCACACGAAGACCAGACAGGAAAGTGGCCTACGAGGGCGGACCTGGCCTGGGCCTTCCCATGAGGTCAGCAGTAGAGATGCTGAAATCGGTGACAGCGTCACTCGGCTGGTACCACCCCAAGGGGAGGGAGTCTTCCCCTTGAGCTGTCGGGTCCTCAGAGCCAGGAGACGAACCACTAAGACGGTAACAGGACAAAGCCTGAGACCAGGCAACTGAGAGACTGTCAGGTCACGTCAATTTCTAGTTGGAAGATAGCTCCTGGCAGGAGTTTCATGAGGAGGAGGCATTGTTGTGCAGCACGATATGAAATAAATATAAACTCAGAAAATTCCGGTAAGAACCTTGACTCTCACTCTTTCGACACTGCGTGACTTGTCACTACTGGGCGTGCCGCCTCGTCTGCTCTGCCTCCGTCACAGGTTCCCCCGGGGGAAGTGTGTGTAATTGTCTGGCAACCTACGGCAACGGAGGCCCGGTCACACAACCCGTCCCTCCCTGCAAACTTGAGTGGAGCCGGGTGCGGCTACGGCGGAGGCTGACATCTGCCCAACTCCACACAGCAGGTGCACGGAGGCATGGACGGAACACCAGCACTTCGTGGCCATGGGAAGACCCAGGACGTTTCTCTAAATGACAGGGTTCTGAAGACTCCTGAGATGTGACTTTTTTTTTTTTTTTTTTTTTTTAACAGGATCACCCTAGCTGCTGTGTTGAGAACAGACTGTGACACAGGGAACAAACGCAGAAGCAAGGGAGTCCCCTGCACTGAGCCAGGTGGGGACAGCAGTGGCTCAGGCCAATGTGGGTGTCAAGGTGGTCAGATTCTGAGAAGTAAAAACAGTTTCTTGACGGAGAGAAAAAGAGGGTTATGGTAACTAAGGCTTTTGGACTGAGCAATTAAAAGAATCAGCTGAAATGCGGAAGGCTGAAGGTGGACCCGCAGCATGTTGGGGGGGGGGGGGGGCGGTTTCCGAACATGCTGAACTTTGAAAAGTCTTGTCTGACTGCAGGCGGAAGTGTGGGCCAGGGCAAGGCCTGGGCTAGAAACGCAAACGCGGGTGTCGCTGGCTTCTCCAGCTCCCGGGGTCTGGAGGCGGGGGCGTGGGGGCCCGGGCTGGTTGGGGTGCCGACCACTACAAGTCCAGAGGGAGAGCAGAGCCGGTGAGACTGTGGGCTGCTCCCGACAGAGCACCTGCCCCGTTCATCCCAGGGTCGTACCCAGGAGACACCGTCACAGCCACGCGGGGCGCTGTCCCTACACTCTGCTGGCACTTGGGCCACCCCCTGTCCCGGGAAGAGGACGGGCGCCTGGCAGAGGCACCTCCCTGTAGACAAGCTGCCAATTCTGACCGAAGGACTCTACGTAAGGACACCGCTGTAAGAACGGTCATGTTTGCCAGGAAATGAGGCTGAGAAATGCTCAGAGATGGGGGGGTTGAGGTCAATAGGAGTGAAAAAAACTACCTTTTAAAGAAAGAAGAACTCTGAACTGTGTCTTCAAAACACAAATCCTCGTGTCCTCCTTCATCCCTAAGTATTGTCTATCTGTCACATAATCTGCACAGAAGAGTCTCGCTAGGCCTACAGAGCTGGAAAATCTCTACCAGCCAGGGCCTCGGGACAGTAGCTGGTGGGCAATGGATGCCCAGAGAGGATGTAACATGAGCATCTCAAACGAAGAATCTGCTCTAACCGGTATCTTCCGACCGCCCACCACAGGTGCACGTTGCCATACAAACAAGTGCGGAGAAAACATCCATATTTTGTCTTTGTCTCATGGCGGGGGGGGGGGGAGGTAACGCTAAAACAAATATGCTCTTCGGTTATCGAGGTGGGAAATGCTTCTGGGAGGGGCTTCTCTGCACAGTGGTCGTGCCACCACACTGTTGAGCTAAAAACGGGGGAGGGGCTGTCATTTGATGAGGAGGCCGTTGAAGTCAGACGGAGATTCGGGACGTTTTGAAAGTACTGTCGGATCCCGTCCTTGCTCGTTTAAAAAGTGACTAACAAAAAATGACCTCAAGTTATTAGGAACGTTTCAGCCGGCGCAGAACTCGTGGCCGGTGACACTGATAATGGCCCTGGAGCACCATGGACACTAAACGGTCGACTGAATCTCCCGAACGTGGATACCAAACACGCTGAATCGAGGGGCACAGTTGGTTGAGCGCCCGACTTCGGCTCAGGTCACAATCTCGCGGTTCGGGAGTTCGAGCCCTGCGCCGGGCTATGCGCTGACTGTGGAGCCCGCTTCCGATCCTCTGTCCGCCTCCCCCCACCCCCGCAGCTTGCACTCCCCCTCAAAAATAAAACATGAAACAAACAAAAACCCTGAACTGACAACAGAATGGGGTGTCAGGTATGTTTCGGCAGACGATACGGCCGGTGAAGCAAACTGAAGTCCGTGCGAAATTATTAAAGAAAACGGAGCAACATTTACCAAAAAGCTCTCTTTTTCTGCCAACAGACAGATGCCAGTTACATCTTAACTGGCAAAACAACGTGAATACCAATTCGGTTGAGTTTCTAGTAGTCGGTTATTCAAAATCTATTACCAGGGTAACAAAAATAGGTTATTCGTTGCAGGTTCTTTCGTTTGCTCGCGTATTTGTGACTCTACGTAAAAATACACAGAATCAATTTTGTGACTAAAACTGAGAAAAGGTCAAAGCCATAAACAAACAGTAACACTTAAAATTAACGGAGGAAAGCAAAGAGTAACTAAATCTAAACACACGGAAAGGCATGCTTCCCGATCCCGCAACTACGCGCCTGCGCTAGGACGCCCCAAGGAGCTGCGTCTACTACGAACACAAACCACCACCACCAACAGAAAAAAAGAAAATCAAGACAGGAAAAAAGTACCAAAGGGAAAGAAATGAGAACATACCAAATCTAGAACAGAGATTGCTGGCAGACCAGTCTGCTGCATAACAGAGAAGGAAACAAAAAGAAAGATGAAGTGTGAAAAAAAGTCAAGTTTAGACCGTATTCCACCCCGCGTGCTCGCTGCTCCCGCGCGTCAGCTGCGTTGGAGGACGGCCCGGGGAGCACAGCGAAAACTATGCGTGGACTTCTGATACCCACACACAGGAAAACGTCCACACGGCATTAAACACTTGAGCTTCGTTATTCTGACACACGGAAGGGACTTTAAAATTCCTCTGAGCTGTTACTTGGGGACTAAGATATTCACCTTAAATTTGATTAATGATGAACACGGAGACACTTTTCACTAAAATTGTAAGAAACTTTCCAAATGTCATAGTTCACGCTATGAGGCTTTGAAATGGTCACTGTGAACTATTTGGAAAACCTGACAGACCTTTAATAACAATTCACAGCTAAGAATAATTAGAGAAATACTACAATGCAGTTGCTAACTTTTCACTATGGGGCGGGGAGGGGGGGGATACAGTTATAACAATAAATGTTAACAATGTCTACCTATTTACCATACACGTCGGCTTTTGGTTCAGTATGAACTGCAGTAAACATCGCTGTTTTCTCGTGTCCTGGGGACGGGAGAGTTGGGCCAGGGGCACACGCCCTGCCTCTAGTGGCACTGGCCGAGGACAGGGAGGGGACCCTGCACGGAGCACTCAGCCAACCGTGGACACGGTGGACACCAGGGTCCGGACCCCAGGGTCAGCGCTGTGCTGAGAATTCTTATGCTACAAGTAATGCATCGTTAACCGGATGCGCTTTGAAATAAAGTAGCATTTTATTTGAGGGTAAATACAGTTGTTTTTCAGGAGTTTATTACTGGTGACTTAACATTTGGGTGTTCGTTCAGCTGGATGTTGGGTAAAGTCCTACATCCCCTTTGCTGACAAGAAGTGTGTAATAAGAAGTGTGCGAAACGTTTCAGGACAAAACTCACGAGGCAAACCTGAAAAGGGGTCAGAGTTGGCTGTATGGACTGGTCACTATCTAAGGTCACTCTGTGTCCTGATGTGGAAACATTCAAACACCTGATGTAACAGTTACTTGTTTAGATGTCTGGCAGACAGCATTGAGTAAAAGTGGCAATTAGAAACAAAATCCAGAGGACGTGGTCTTGGCCGTCTCTTCCCAGAAAGCTGCCCTGTGTGAAACCTCCTACCATGTGGTCCACAGCACTGTCTGCAGATTAATACCGGCAAATGCCTCTCCGTTCTGATAGAGTAATGGAGTCTTCAATCTGGCATTTTAACGATCTAGCACACGAAACTAACACGACCTTTCCTTCCTTTGTTTGATGCGAAAAGCACAAATTACTTTCCTCGTATGGAGAAATTAAATTAGAACCCTAAGTTCTCGGTGTCTGTACTCCCGCTGAAACAGAACAGTTTAGTTTCCTAAGTACCTGCTTCACCGCGTACAGCCAGTGCGCGGAGTGTCCTGCTGGCAAGGCTACGAGAACCGCAACTCTGGGACTCTCAACGGTCCCCTCCGTCACCCACCGTCCAGTGCCGACCATCACGACCTGGGCTGGGCAGGTGTCCTGCCCCCGTTCGTGAAGGGCGCCCTGGCCCACGGTTCTCACCGTTTGCGCCGCGGCCAAGGCGGCTTCCGTCGTGCAACAGCAGAGCGGTGCCGTGAAGACCGTGTACGGCCCACAAAGCCTAAGATGTCTGACTATCTGGCCGTTTAAGAAAAAATCCTGCTGGCCCCTGGGGAGGCCTTCAACTGGCTCCGAACAAAGTAGCGGTTACGAGCTTGTTTTCTCAACTGAGGCGCTAACAAGAAGGACAAATGGGAGCCTGCCGACTTGAACAGCCAAGTTCCACTTGGATGGCAGCGAGCCCTTTGCAGAGAACACGCCTCCCAGCCCGGCTCGTTGTGCGGGACCGCCAGCGAGCGGGAAACAGAGCGACAGGCTACAGGCCAGGGGCCCCCCTCAACCCTCCAGGGCCCCGGGCCGGGAGCGCCACGCGCTCGGGGCAGGTAGCACAGAAACGCGCGCCCACAGCACTTTTCCCCTTTACCCTTGCTCTCCGCTCAGCCTCGAGGCGCTGCATGATCAGCATGGTGTCCACGTCGTCGTCCTCCTCCTCCTCGTCGTCCTCGTCCTTCTGCTTGGACTCCTGCAGTCTCTTCTGGAACTGCCACTCCAGCATGAGCTTGCGCAGGCGGTCGCTGTCCTCGGCGCTGCGCTCGGGCTTGCTCTGGAGCTCCCGGATCTCCCTGCTCAGCATGTCCACGATGTGCATTTGCTGCTGCTTCTCCAGCTTCTCCCTGGCATCCCGCTTCCAGGGGTCGGGGGACAGGCTGTCCCCCGAGGACAGCTCCTCTTTGCTGACCGTGATGTACTGCAAGTCTCGGCGCTCGATGGTGCGTGGCTGCTGCTGGGGCTGCAGCTCCCGGATGACCGTGTCCTGGGGCCTCTGGAGCGTGGAAGGTTTCTCCGGCTTCGTGTGCGCGACGGTCACCGGGGAGAACGCGGCCGGGTTCAGGGCCTGGGAGCGCATCTGGCCCAGCTTCCGCTCCTGCTCCCGGCGCTTCCTGTCCCGCTCCTCCTCCAGGCGGGCCTTCTCCTTCTCGTACCAGCGCTGCTGCTCCTCCCGTTTTCTCCGCTCCGCCGCCGCCTGGCCGCTGGGAGGGGGCGGGAGGGGCAGGTCCACGGGGATCCCGTCGAAGTCTCCGGCGTAGTGCGCGGGGGGCGGCGGGGGGGGCGGGGGCAGGTCTGTCTGCGCGGGCGGGGGGGCCGCCGGCAGGGGCTGCGCGGAGGCTGGCGTCTTCCAGCGCCCGGGGCCGCTCTTGGTCAGCGTGGAGGCGGGGGTGCCCGACTTGGAGCAGGGGTCCAGGTGCTCCTGGCTGGACGTGCTGGAGCCCACCGAGGAGCTCGGCTGGATCCACACGTCACTGTCGGACTTGCGATCCAGCACCGCCTCCAGCCGATGCCGCTCGAGTTGGTAAGCTTTATCCTCCCGAAGTTCCTCCTGGGAGCGGGTGACGCGCTAGAGAAAGAACACGGAAAACCGTTATCTTTCGGCCACTTGGAAAAAATTATTAAAAACTCACAAATATTGTACCTCGAGGGAGAAAACATTTTAGGGCAATTGTTCAGCGAGTGGCACACAGAGGCGGAGACCGCCCAGGTCTCTGGCGGTGCGGGGTGCACGATGTGGGGGGTCAGCGCTTCTCCAGTTACAAAAAGGGAAGGGCCGTGCTTCCTTCTCTGCATCACTGTGAAAAGGAGGCGGCGCAGCGCACAGAAACGCAGCTGCTTTACGGACGGCGACCTTCCCCCCTCTTGTATGGCCGCGTGCACACATCTCCGCTGTGGTTTCCCACGCGACGGACTTCGCGAGGAGGAATGTGTTCAGTCTAACTACGCGAAGAGCAGCAAAATTTACTTCTCCGTCGTAAAGTTCGAAGTAAGAGTAGTAGTTCTCAAATCTTTACTATTTGAGCCATGGTCCCAGGGCTGACGGGCTGACAGAGCTGTGCACAGGCCAGGACAAGCCATGCATCCGAGCCTGTCTGTTCCAGTCTTAGAAAGCAAAGTACAGAACACAGTGCCATCGGTCGCTGAACATGAACGTGTATGCGTGTGTGTCAGAGATGAAACGGATACACTGTTTCAAAGGGCTAAGAGGCTCATGTCTGAAAAATGGCATGTCTAAAAGTAGTTTAAAGTGACAGAAATGACTCACTAGGATGTCAAACATTTTTTCCTGTTCTGTTAATGTGTAGAAACTGAAGATGTAAATCTGGAGGTAAACTGTTTCCCTTTCCTTAAAAAATAAGCCAAGAAAAAAATGAAATACCACTTGAAAACACAGCAGCCTGATAGAGAAATGTAACATTTACTGCCAATATTTTGCTATAGCTTTACTACAGACACAGAAAGTTTCTTGACCGCTGGACAGTCTACAGGGCACAAAAAGGTAGCTGACCCTCGAACAAGGCAGGGGACAGGGGCACTGAACCCTGGGTAGTCAAAAATCCACATACAACTTCTGACTCCCCCAGAAACTGAACTACTAACAGCCTACCGCCGACTGGAAGCCTCTCCCGTGACATAAACAGTCGATCAGCACATAGTCTGTTTCCTTACGTACTCACTGTATTCTTACAGTAAACCACAGAAAAGACAAAAACCCCAAGGATGAGAAAAGACAGAGCACCATACTGAGAAAGCGTGCGTAAAAGCGGACATGAACAGTCCAGACCCACATCATTTAAGAGTCCACCGTAGCAGGAAATGCCCTACGTGTACAACAGATCCTCTGAAAGCATAAACTTGTGGCGTTCACGCCTCCTCCGCGGCACTGCGGGACCCGGCTCCCGGTCCTCCCGGCTCAGGCCTCCGCTCTCCTTGAGGACATCGTTCTAGCTCCCGGTGCACCCCTGGCAAGTCCTACTCTTATGCTCGGTCATTTCACGATCCAAGTAAGCGACCCTCCCACACCCGGACGTCCCGGTTTCCTGGCCTCCTCTTCTAGGTGCCCGTTACCCACGTGTGGGGCAGAAGCGGACGTGCACCACGAACATGAATGTGGAGGCTTACTAAACGCTATTCCCGTAAGACAGGAGACACGTGTGGATTCTCTCGACATAAGGGAAGCGGGTCTTCCCTGGGGAGGGAGCAAGGCACATGAGCATTCACTGTGGAAGAGAAATCTGGAGAAATCCTCTCTCGCAGCCTGCTCCAGCCCGCCGGTCGAGCCGGCGGGGGGTGTCCGATACTCTCGAAGAGACTGGGCTTCTCGGGTTAACGGGACGGGACGGAGCCGTGGACCTCAGGACACGAGGCTCTTCCCCGCTGTCCGTGCTGCCTCCCGTGACTGTGACCGTGACCCCTCTTCTGCTCTCCCACCCTCCTCGGCTCAGCCCAGTCCCACCCTCTGCCCCCAGTCTCTAGAGCAGCACAGCCGGAAAGCGCTACCCGGGCCCGGTGTCGTCACACATCCCAGACCGTACCTATTTTTAAGCATACATCTGACTTCTCCCAGGCTCCCACGGTGCAGAGTTCTCTTTCTAAACACAAGACACATCTGATGACGTTCCCCGGCTCCACCGCCCTGACGGCCCCTTCTCTACTAGCTTGGATAGAACCTGAACCCTTCATCTTCCCGTCACTTGAGCCCTTCCGCGTGGTTCCAGGCTGCGAAGGCCTGTGACGCGCCCTGCTCAGCAGCCCACCCGGGCCTCCTCCCCTGTCCGAAACGCTCTTCCCTCAGAGAGCGGTAACGGACCACGGGAGCCCAGGCGCCAGTCGCTCGGCGGGGACCCACGTCCCTAGCAGGACCTACCACCCTGTGTTTACTTCCTCTGCCTCGCTTCCCCATCGCATCGTTAGGGTCACGGGTAGGGACCCCGGTCACGCCCGCGTCCCAGCGCTTGGGACGGCCTCTGGCGTAAGTAAGAAAAAACACACCGCTCGTTTCTCAGCCCTGGAGCCCGTGATCCCACCTCACAAACTGTCACTGGGGTGCACTATTACTAACACTTTGTGAATCGAACTTCCAGAGAACAAAGAACTCCTTTTCACATTTAGTATTCCCTCCCATCCCCTCTTCCTCAGTTACCCGGGAGACCATGTAGGACAGCACTGTCCTACAGAGCACGTCGGCCGTAGCTCAGAAATCATTCGGACTCCACCCTGCCAAACCAATTCTCTTTGAGGGCGCGGACGTCCGTGGCCTCCTCTCTGACCTGCATCGCGGGGCCGGACCGATGATCATCTGTGTGCACGTGCGGCTTCTCCTCGTAATTGGGCCACTGGTTCTGAGGGGGAGCCACGCGGTCCTGGGACCTGGAGGCCGGGAAGGTGAAGTACTCCCTGGTGTACGTCTGGGTGGGGATGGGGTAGGCCTCAGGTCGAGGTGGAGGGGTCTGCTCCTGTAAAACGTGAAGAAGAAAGCGGGCTTTTGGCAATTTGTACACGGATTCATTTAACTTCCAACATTCTGTTTTAAAATGTGGTTTCTGTGTATTTTTAAACCTGTGTTAAGAATTAAAAGTGGTCCTCTACTAGGAATAATGAAAAACATTTCATTTTGCCCTATCAATTTAAAGCTAATTTACCTATTCTATTAAAAACAAAAAAAGCAGTACTCAGGGATTACAAACAATGCTAATCTACAGAGCGTGAGCGTCACGAGAAAATCTACGTGTTCATCACAGCGAGAACGGTTCCCTCCTCTCTCAGACCTCAGTGCAGAGGTTTCCGGTGGAGACGGATGTGATCTTAGCGGCTGCTCCAGGGGCGTACGCACTTTTCCCTCCGGGACTGGGGGGCTGATCTGCGTTGGAAAGAGGCAGGGAAAAGAAAGGTGACTCCTGGGAGGACAACTCGACACAACGTCACTTAACGTCCTTTACGGGTGGTGAGCACGTGCCGGGCATCTTCCAACGGCCGGTGAGGAGTCAGCACAGAGACGAAAACTGGGGCACGGGAGACATCAGGGCTCCTCATACCCACTCCCCTCTCTCTAATAATCAGAGCCCAGGGCCAGAAAGTATTACCTACAGACTGGCGGCTGGCAAACCCTCCCGGCAACGGGACAGTCAGTATTTCAGGCTTTGCAAACCTCGTGAGTGTTGCATTACCCTTCCACTGAGCCTCCTTCTTGTTAACAACCCCTTAAAAGCATAAAACGTTCACCATCCCCTGCTGCGGACGTGGTCAACGTACTGCCCTAGAGCATCAGGGCAATCAAACATTTTTGAACTTCCTTCTTATTACCTGTCGCAAGGACAGTGCTTGGGGTGTATCTCATGAAAAACACATCTCAGCCAGCATACGCAGGCAATGTCGTTCTGATAACTAAGAAAGCACAGGGTGCCCACCCCCCCGGCCTTTTCTGGCCGTGACCGTGCGTGTATCTGGACAAGAGCTAGCTCAAAGGCCAGGGAAGGAATGGCCACAGCGGTCCCTCTTACTTGCCACGTTGGGGCTGGAGCGGTGGTCAGCCCGGTTCTTCATCAGCCTGTCATCGCCAGGGAGCTTCTTCGGTTCGCTGTATTCTGCCCAAGGCAGCTGAGGGCTCTCGGGTGACCCGTTTTGAGCTGAATTGTTATAGAGCTCGAAACCTTCGCTCTTTGGTCGGGGTTTACCTGAGCCACGACGGTCTGAAACTGAAGTCAGAGTGCACTCAGGGTCTCTTCAATTGTTCAAGATTTTATTTTAAATACCCTAGTCTTCAAGAAAGATGAACCTACAAATATTTAAAATTTCAAAAGACCTCCTTCTTAGGTGAAGGAATAAAGTAGCTTTTAGTCTAGGAATCAGATCTTTCTAGAGAAACTTAAAAGTGACATTTAGCTATTATTGATGGGAAAGGTGCTCTTTCAAAGCCGATTTTCTCAAAGTCCACCAAACACACTCCCCTCACTTTCTAGAACACACGCGAACTCTGTCAACCCCGGGGTGAGCTCTATTTCTGGCCTCGTCTCCCTGCATGGTCGCCCCGGCGTGTTCTCTACTCGAACAGCTTCCCTCTGACCTGTAACTCACGGTTGGGTTTGCCTCTTGGAAGCGGCTGTAAGCTATGACATCAGGCACCAGCCTGGCATCATGCCGGGAAAAAAGTAACGAAGGCCTCTGCTACAGCACATGGTTTTGTCAAGACGCGGTTTGTTCGTTTCAGCGAACGGTGGGTCTGCGTTCTCAGAAGCTTTCTTGTGTGTGTGTGACCCTTAGGTCGACCTCAGGCAGGTGCTGGCCTGGGAGGCTCCCAGATCACTGGCCAGTGGAGAAGAGAGCTCCATCGAGGCCAGACCTGGCAGCTGCACACAGTCAGCATGGTAAATGCAAAGTATATAATGATTTAAGAGACGATGTGAGTCCTAATGGGTTTTCTCCTGTGATTTCTGAACTGATTCTTTAAGAAAGCCCTAAATTTATATTGGTTTTATTCCGGGATTTTTGATGTAGCTATAAAATCATGGTTCCCACCAACAAATCATCTTATGCGAACTGAGCTTTTAAATCTGAAGTGAACTACGTAGAACAGAATAATCACGTCCCGTCTCGGTGCACAAAGGACTGAAGTAACTTCACATACACGCACACGTACATTCTTTCAGTGGAGAATTCTACCTGTTCTTTGAAGACTTTACGTCCCTCACCACCTGCTTTACTACGGCCAAGTGCCGGGCCGGTGGAGACTCTCCAGCCGGCCCCACGGGAGGTGCCGGGGGGCAGGACCTTAGTGAACCCCCACACGGCCAGAAGGCCAGCGGGCCTACACTGGACACGGTCGTGAACGACTTATCCTGGCCATCTTGCAAGGGATCGCATCCCGAGCTTGTCTTTAAAATTGGGACAGCACCTACTCCATAGAGTTTTGTGACTGTCGAGAGAGGCCGTGACTGTAAAATGCCTGGCATGCGGTAAGCGATCAACACCAGGTGGCGACCGCGACAGCGGTCACGGGCAGACGCGGCGTGCAAGGCTGCGCCGGGGGCGCTCACCTCTCTGCATCATCGGGGACGGCTGATTGAGCAGGGTGGCCAGGCCGTGGTAGATCGCTCCTTGCTTGGCTACTTCCAGTGTCACCACGGAACTGGTCCTTGTCATGAGTTCTGCTGCCCTAGGAAGAGAGGACAGCACCAGTAAGGAAAAGGAGACCAGTGCCCGCTCCCCACGATGGCCGCCTGCGACCACAGTAACCGCACGTCGTGCGGCCTCACCCGCTATTCTGGGCAGCAGCTTGGAACCTTTGCGCGGGCTCCTGGCTGCCGGCTCCCTTCCTCAGAAACCAAGAACCATTCTATCAAGAACAGTAAAAGGACTTTCAGGAATCCTCAGGATGTGCTAAGAATAGGCTTTTTTAAGCTTCAAAGAAACTGCTCCAGATCAAAATACACACTCTACCATGCTAACGAGAGAGGGGTCGTATACACGAAGTTTATATTTAAAACTGTGAAGATTGGGGCCACCTGGGTGGCTCAGTCGGTTAAGCAGCCAACTTCAGCTCAGGTCATGATCTCACGGTTAGTGAGTTCAAGCCCCGCGTCGGGCTCTGTGCTGACAGCTCAGAGCCTGGAGCCTGTTTCAGATTCTGTGTCTCCCTCTCCCTGACCCTCCCCTGTTCATGCTCTGTCTCTGTCTCAAAAATAAATAAACGTTAAAAAAAAAATTTTTTTTTAAAAAGTGAAGATTAAGGGCAGATCTTTCTAGCATTACTTTTTGTCTTCTAAATCTAAATTTACTGTGAAACATCCTGAAAATGCCAACCTTAAACAAATACATAAACGATACCTTTCCTGAGAGAGTCCTACCAGACTTCGTCCATCCACACTGAGGAGCTGGTCACCTGCGGCCAGGCGCCCATCCTGCGCGTCCAAAAGGTACGTGTGTTGGGCGGGAGGGACAGCAAAGGGCAAGAGGAGGAAGAGGAAAGTCAGCGGTAAGTATGCTCACGTTGGTCTTTTCAGCAAACACCACACTTAGCATTTTATAACAGAAAGTATCACTGAAGAACCTCAGGTTGTTTGCTAAATGTGACACGCGGTGAACTTACAACGGGAGAAATCATACTAACCACATCTGCAGCACCTCCTTTTACGACAGACTTGACATAGATTCCAAGTTTATCTTGACCAGCACCCTAGGCAAAAATAGGGTAAGAAACATGGCATTGAAAATACGCAGTGAAATAAAAACAGAACAAAAATAAAATAAAACAGGTACAGAGTGGTAACACAAGTCCCGGTTCTTGCTTCTACACGAAAATTGGCACTAAATTAACACTGTACGTGGTAAACATAAAGGAACTGACAGGAAATGTACCTATTTTATGTTCCTAAATTCAGGAAAAGTACTCCTGCAAAGCAGATATTACTAACCCAGCTGATGAGGATGCGAAGACACGCGATCCGAATGCAGATTCCGGCTGAGCTCTGAGCAGCCCTAAGTGGGTGAGCTAATGCTACCCGGTGACACATACCGTTAGCCGCTTTGATACAAAGGCAATTTATTACAGTACTTTTACGTTCCTATAGCCCATTATTTTTTCGAAACCTGTCGTTGAAAATTAAAACAAGAAAAACCTTCTTGCGGCAAGGAGGGGGCTTTAGGCAGTGAGAAGATCACGCAGAAAATCTTCTGTACGACTCAATTGAAGGATCACGTATCATAACTCTAGGTGAATCCTGGAGCCCCAGTCCACACAGAGGGCGCACCAGCCTTGCTTCATGTTACACCACGGGGGACTCGGGGGGGCGGGGGGGGGGTGAGAACTTCCAATGTTGGCGTAGTAGAATCGCCAACATTCTACATGGACATTTATAACCACGACATAAAAATCAAACAGGGACAAGATACTGGAACGAACAAAGGAAGCAATCGTGCATGAACTCTCACTTGGATATTCCTGCCAATGTTCTACAACCGAGTACATGTTTCTTAGGTCACAGTAACCACGGCAGTTATGAAGTATCGTGTCATAAAAGCAAAACTATAAAAGGGCTCACACAAATCTGTAAAGACTGCGATTTCAATACACGACTTAACTGAAACAAAGGTCGAATACTCTGGAACTATGTAATTTCCCCCCAAAAGCCCTCCGTGTCTCCCTCCAGTTACAGGCAGGCTGGAGGAGGACAGTGTGACTGCCGGGGCCCAGGGCCTCTCCCCCCGTGGTCCCCTCGGGGAAACTCCAGCACGTATCACGCCCCGGTTCTGTGAGCCTAAAGCCATCTGTTGCGTGGCTCATTTTAAAAATGGCATAAGATGTCTCAATTTAACAAGACAACTCAATTTTGGGAAATCTTCAGATTTCCCATGGCTCCATTATCTGGGAACTGGGCTGATAAAAGCCATGCACAAGGTATAAGCCCGGTGCCCTCTCTGGCAGCCCCCCACCCTCTGGCCTAGGTGTCCCCTAGGCCACCTGCCCCCCAGGAATCACCCAGCACTTTTAATACAACAGGACAACCAGGTGCAGCCTGTGACCTTTTCACCCCCCTGCGCCAACACCGAGGTAGTTTGCGAAGCTTTGTGCTTTTTGGTAAATCTGAAATTTCACAATAAAGAAAATATATGGCAGGCACTCGATAAATGGCAACGTTCTGAATTTTAGTGAGTCACTTAGCAAAAGAGCTTTACTCAGGCCAGTACTGGGTTTCCTTGAACTTGGGCAGCTAGCTCACACTGTGGGAAATTCCTTCTAGGACAGCCTCCTCCCTACCCCCATCCGTTATACGGGGTGTTCCCTTGCGTGTGATCTGACGTTTTCAATACATTCGACACTTTTATGTACTCTGCGACTGAGTGCTTAATTCCGCAACTCGGCTCTTTTAAGTGAGGATCTCGTTCACTCGACCCTCGCTCACTGAACACTTATGCTGACTCAGGCTTTGGACGTGCGTCACCGAACGGAACGCACCCCCTGGCCTCACGAGGCCTGTGTCCTACACTAGACTTTGCAGCTGCCCGGCAAGAACTCGGGGGAACCAAAAAGCTCCCTTCTCCCCTCCCACAAATGGGGCACGCTACTTCCTCACAGACAATACCTGAGGCCGGAATTTCTGTGAAAATAGGTTCTGAGGGCAGAGCTACTTTTTCCCTCCGCGCTCTGACAGAGACGCAGGGCCTACGGCATTTCGGGGTGCCGGTTTCGGTGCGCGCGGGCACGGCCATCTTCACAAGCACAATCTGTCGGCAATGCGATACCGTCCTCGTAATGCGGACGATAACAATCGTTACTCTGTCGATTCTCAGCCTTTGGCTAAGATCAAGTGCAAATATTCAATTACTGCCATCTTTGAAAAGAAAACCGCTGAGCAGTAACACTGATAATACAATATTTTTAGGAACAGGGATAGAAACACCAGAGTACCAAATATATACATTTTAAAACAATAAACGAAGACCCTCCTGCCCCGTTTCCGGCACACTTTCTAAGGTTCCTGTTAATGATGAAAACAGCCTCACTCACTTGGACACGGTGCGAGGACTCCATCCACAGTCACAACGCAGAATAAGAGAAAAAGGGGACTCCTGTCCGCTCGCCTCAGCCCGGAGCCCGCTCACACACCTGGGGCCGTCCTCGGTCTGGGGAGTCCGTCCTGCACGGTCACCGTGAACCGCGGCTTCCCTGTGGGATCGCTTCGTGCTCTCACCCCCCGCCCCTCACTTCACACCGCGGGGAGTCACGAGGCTGTTCCACGGCCACCGTGCGTCCTAAACAACTCACGCACGCTTGAATCTGGCGGACTCCGCGTGAGCTGCAAGCAACGTTTAAGAAGGCCGAAACCTGCAGCGCCTCCAGGCATTTACCGCCCACGTGCAAGGACACTCACGCGGTCGCAGTGTAAATATCCCAGGGAGACACTGGGCAGCATCGTGGCCTCACTCTCTCAACAGTCCCGGCAAGCCCCCGCCCTGTGACTGGCCTGCCTAGCGCGGGAGCCCCTTCTGGAAGCACGCCCGTCCGGGCTCCTGACCAGAGGCCAGCTGACAAGCGCCATACCCCCAGAACCCGGTTCGAGTCCTCGCCCCTGCAGCACACCGTGCCTCATCCCCCCGCCCCCCACCCCTGTTCCATCCTGTTTCCACGTTCCTGCCTTTGTTCGTACTTGCCACACGCCAGTCTGATGCATCGTGTCTGCCAAAGCACCGTCGTCATTCGACCCCGGGCTCACCTGCCCCCGCACGCCGGCCCGCCCACCTTCCCCACGACAGGCCAGACACAGTCCGTCCCTCCCTGACGCTGCTCCGGCGACACGACAGTGCGGACGGCTCTCCCCCCGGCCCCTTCCCCGGCCGCTGCCCGATGCGCCCAGAGTGTGCTCACTCCTTACTGGGACGAAGCCCAGAATCTTACCGACGGGATCTGCTGGTAGGTTAGGAAGCAGCTCGTGTGGCCATCATACACTGAGCTGGTAACAGAACGCTGGTAACGCTGTAAAATTACTAGTTTATAAAGTTACAAACCCTCAGCGTTTCTGACCACGGCGCCAAACGTGCCGTTTCGGGAAGAAGCACGCACATCCGTTACTGTCAGGTAATGGATGACGAGAAAGGCACAGTATTTGAGAAGTGGCATTTTCTTACACGATGGGAATTTGCCTACATTCTAAGCTATAATCACATCTTTTAATTCCAAGTTCAACGTATCAGTGTGTCTGCTAGTTAGAAAAGGTGCTCATCTGAGGAATCATGAGACAATGATTCTAAGAGACCTCAATTCAGAAGGTCCATTTAAGGCTGGTCATAAAAATGGACTTTAATTAAGTCAGTATTAAAAAAACATACTCTTGGGGGAGGGTGCTACACAAGAATCTGGATCTGGAATATTCTAAAGAGGTATCCACACTTTGGTTGGCATTTGAATCTTCTTACTAACGTGGTCTCAACCTCGTACTACTTACCTAGAAGAATTCTTTACCGCAAGACCACACTGCCTACATTTTTCCCACGGGCCGTGTTCTACACATTCTCTTCCGCAGACCCACTCCCTTCCCTGCTTCTACTCTGGCTCCTCCCACCTCCGCTTATTTGAATCCTATCTATGCTTCACATGCAGCCCAGTTACAAACCGGCCATAAAAAATTGAGAGTCGCATACTGCTATAGGGAGAAATGACCAGTTCCACTGGCGACTCTTCTAGAAAACAAAATTACAGACGAGTACCCAGAAGTGAAAGAACTCTAAGGAATTTCTAACTACACATACATACATATATGTGTGTATGTTTATATAAGATCAAGATGGGTAGTTACTTTAGACCCAAAACAGCCTGTGACCCATTCTGAGGTGGCCCAGTGTCTCCCCATGTGGCCACAACAGCCCTGGCCAGGAATGTCCGCCTTGCCAGGTGGGCGGGGGTGGGGGGGGGGGCAAGCGGGTGCTGCTTCGCCCTGCTAATGCCACTCGTACTGGGAACAAGTCAGCTCTCGGGAGGCCCCAAGGCAGGCTCACCATCTATCTGGCTGTAGCAATTCCACAACTTTATGGAGCTCTCACTACCTGCCCGCTTCATGCGAAAAAAAAGAACGTTACAGACAATGATAAAAGTTGTATGAAACAAAATTTATTGCAGAAGCATTAAGCCGCTTGACTTCTGTCTTATTTCTGAACAATCATAGGCACACTGACCTAGCCCAAGAAGACTGAGCTCTCAGGCAAGTCCCCCCACCGCCTCCTGCCTTTTCCAATTAAGAAAGGAAAACGGGGCCCAGAAGGTGTTTGCTGCTACGAACCGGTGTGACACACGTGTCACTAAGGGAATGTAACGCGCAAACATTAACCAAAGCCAATTACAGGAATACAAAGAAACAGTTTTGCCAGTGCTGGGAAAATGAAATTAGACACTATACAGCATGCTGTCTGCTATGGCCGCCACAGGCCACACGTGGCTAGTCCGAACCGAAATGTGTATTACATATAAAATATACCCAGACACGAGAGCTTTGTACGGAAAAAAGAATCTAAGGTATCTCATTAATGACTTCTATTCACTACGTGTTGGAATCATAACATTTTGGATATATTATGTAAAACAAAACACATTAAAATTAATTTCACAGTTGCTTTTTTTTTTTAGTGTAGCTAATAGAACATTTAAAATTAGGGTGATGGCCACTGAGGAGCACACCTGACAGG